ATATTACATCTGTTTAACCCCTTGCCTACCGGGCACTTTTACCCCCTTCTTGCCTACTGGGCACTTTTACCCCCTTCTTGCCCAGGCCAATTTTCAGCTTTCAATGTTGTCACAATTTGAATGACAATTGCGTGATCATGCAACACTGTACCCAAATAAAATTTGTAGAATTTTCTTTTGAGACATATAGAGCTTTCTTTTGGTAGTATTTAATCACCACTGGAGTTTTTATTTTGTGCTAAACAAACTAAAAAAGACAGAAAATTTTGAAAAAAAAAGTTTTTTTCAGTTTATAGTATAACATTTTGTAAATAACTAATTTTTCTCCTTCACTGACGTGCACTAATGAGGCTGCAGTGATGGACACTGATTGGCGGCACTGAGGAGGCACTGATAGGTGGCATTGATGGGCATGGACAGGCATCGCTTGTGGGCACTAAAAGGCACCCCTTATATATGGCACTGATAGGCAGCACTGACTGGCACTAATAGGTGGCACTGATTTGAATTGTTAGGTGGCACTGACAGGGACTGATAGGCAGCACTGACTGGCACTGATAGGTGACACTGATAGGCAGCTCTGATGGGCACCGATATGTAGTATTGATGTGCAATTGTAGGCAATGATATGTGGCATTGATGTGCACTGGTATGTGAAATTGATTGGCCCTTACAGGTGGCATTGATGGGCACTGACAGGTGACACTGATGGGGTTACACTGATCATCAAGGCACTGATGTTCCATGCCCTGATGATCAGTGTAGATGTCCGCTCTGAGTAATGCTGATTACCGACTCTCCTCTCCTCATGAGCTGTCAGTGGGAGGAAAGGACTGCCGATAACCGGAATTTCCTATTTACATGTGTTCTGTTGTGATTGGACACAGCTGATCACATGACAGAGCCGACGTCATTGGCTCTTTACAGTTATCAGTGATCCGCTGTGTCCGAGGGTCACAGGGCACCAACAATCACCATGCGAGTGCGCACATGCAGTTAGAGTGGGAGGAGGTCATACATACTGTATATATACTAAAATATAAATGAGCACACGCAAAAACACACACACACACACATATATATATATATATACTGTATATATAATATTTTTTTATTTTTCCTTCTACAGCTTTGTCTTTATGTAACAGAAGTGGTGTGGTTTTAGCACAGAGTAGGTGGTTGGCAGACCCCTAAATCTCATTATCTATGAAACTAGATGTGTAGTGTGTGTGCTGAAATATTTATGAGAGAAGTTGGAGCAGATTGTCCCGTTTCTCTTGCATTGCTCCATTCATCTTTCTTCCATAGGCAGATGGACGGATGGAATTCAACCTACTGGCAACAGCTCCATTTGTGTCAGGAAGTGCAGCAGTCTTCTCCACCCCAGGCTGTTTATGGGGATAACATGCAGTACTATCACTTACACTCCAAATACTAGAACAGATGTTCCTCTGCCTCGTCTAATCTCCACCTGGCACTTTCTAAATGGACCAAATGTTGAACTAAACTTGTGTTTAATGTGATAAAGCCAAAATATTAAATAACTGGAAGGCAATGATGACATCACTCTGGAGTCCCATCATTCTGAATCCGTTTATGTCATATAATGTGATGACAGCAGTTTTTACCTAAAATGCTTCCATGGTGCTAAAAAAAAAATCTTTATTAATCAATGTATCTGCAATATTTTATTTTTATATTACTCACAATAGAGACACTGTGAAAGTGAAAAAGATTTACTAGAAACTGAGATGCAGATGCCCTGATACTTGGCAATTCTCCGCATGGTAGCACCAAGTTTATCGCGATGCTGAGATCGGTTATTGGGCTGTAACCATAAACTATAGCAGTTCTTTGCAAAAAGGAAAAACAAGGCATTTCATTGTATGCTTTAAAGCTTAAAGTCAAACTGAAGGCAGAAATAAAAAAATAAACAGCTAATTAAAGGTTAAAATAAAAAAGCAGCTTTTTTTCTGCAATACTCATCTTCTGGGTTGAATGATGGACAGCATCAATAAACCAAGTTTTCCTAAGCCAGGTTGTCATAATATATACTATATATATATATATATATATATATATATATAAAAAATATAAAAAAAAACTAACTTCTTTATTGTAGTTGTTAAAATGTTCACACCACAGCAACAAGAGAAGCTGTTAACCCATTTCATGCCAAAGGCCACTTAATTATGACATGTTATGATTGTTCTGCAATTGGCCACTGGACCAGCTCATGACTCATTTAGGGGCTTAAGCATAGTGGACTGACTTGGAGTGCTGTATAGTGTTCATGATGTTTTTAAAATATGTTTTATGTGAACAAATATACTGTATAGCAATGTGTTATTCTTAAAGATAAAAATATATTCCTTGCTGGTTTATATATGTAGCACTGCCCCCTTAGCAGTTGCTGATGTTTTGGGGGCCCCTATAGAAATGCACAGCCAGGCAACAGGCATCTCAACACTGACTTGCACTCAGGAGTCAGTAACCAGTCCTTGAGCTTGTTTTTTGATATTTATTAGGGGGATTTCAACTTGGATAGGGTAAGGGGTGTACGGGATGCCCAATGGAATTGCAAAACTGAGGACAACTTTCTGAACTATGTGCAGTAGTTACAGCAATCAATCTCTTCTGGAGAGCTAGCCAGCATCATCTGTACTAGCACCCCAGACTCCAGATAAATCTTCTTCATCCAACTATCTGGAGCAATCCCTGAGCAGGGGATCCTGTGTCTGCCATGTAAAAGAGAGACACAGTCCTGGGTAGCAGGCTAATCCAGCTTCCTCCTTCCCCTATACGGCCCAGGGGGTGCAGGTGTACTCACTTAATCCCTTTCCTGTGTTGCTGTTAGATTAGTGACTGCTGCCAGACCTTCTAGCTAGGCCACACAGGTTGTCCTCTCACAGGGGGCTGGGGAAGCTTTCAGCCTTCCCTCATCCTTCTGTCTGGAAGTGAGCCACTCTCCCATCTGGGCCCCCTCCCAGGCACCTGCTCCTCAGCCTCACATCTTCCTCTTTCACCTGAACTCTCCTGCTGCTTAGCTTGTCCTAGCCCCTTGCCAAGTGTTCTGTTGGGGATTGGCCAGGATCCTTGAAGAGTATAGACTAGCCACTCCTCAGATCCACCCACTGCTTTCTAGACCTTTCTCCAAAGTTCTAGAGAAGGGGAAAATTCCAGAGGGCTGGGCTGCAGAGCTTCTCAGGTCTGACCATAATTTTATCCCTGCTAGCTATCACACTCAGGCTGCTACTCAGCTCTCCTTGCTAAAAATTGGAGTATAGTTCCCCCTAGCTGACTAGGATGGTGCTACATATAATTGGCAATAATTACCTTTAGGGTTCATTCACTCTAGGTGCAGTGGGACTGCACTGAACAGCCTTACTCGCACATAATAGTCCCAATGCTAATCAAGGCAAAAGGCCTTTTTCCCCTATAAGGCCAGTTCACACCACTGCATTGCAGCGCTATTCACTTCGTTGTATGGCTGAGGTCTCCAAACTTTCCAAGCAAAGGGCCAGTTTACTGTCCTTCAGGCTTTAGGGGGGCCGGACTGTGGCTAGTGGGAGTAGAACATGCCCCAGGATCAATGCCCCATGAGAAGAATAGTGCCCCATAAATGGTATCAGTAGGGGGAATGGTGCTCCATTGTTGGTGTCAGTTGGTGGAATAGTGCCCCCAAGGGCCAGTTAAAGGTAGGTAATGGGCCACATCTGGCCCCCGGGCAGTAGTTTGGAGACCAATGTTGTATGGACTTCATGCAATGTAAGTAAAAAATGGACAGTGATACTAATAATATTTACAAGAGGCTTGTGCCAGAGGTAATTAACTTTTCCAATTATTATTGTAGCGCTACCCCCTTAGGGGATGCTGGATTTGAATGGGTCCCCCTATGCTCTGCCGAGCTAGGCAACACCCTTTTCCCCCCATTTTGCACACTAGAGTCAGCAAACAGTCCTTAAGCTTTGATTTGTGATTTTATTAAGGGGTTAAACTTAGATAGGGTCTATGGGTATATGAGATGCCAGGGGAAACTGTATAACTTGAGGACAACTCCTTAGCAACTATGTACAAAAATGTGGACTAGCAATAGTCTCTCTTTAAGGAGCACTAAACCCCTTCGGTGTACCTCTGCAGACCCTGGATGATCCCTCTTCTTCACCCAGTTGCACTGAGGGTATTCCCTGGGCAAGAGGACCCAGAAGCTGTCAATTAAACAGTCCCAGAAGCTAGCTGGGTCTTGCACCTGACCGTTCCTTTCCCCTTATCTGGCCCTAGGGGTGTAAGAGTACTCACACTGTTCTCTCCTGTTACCTTAGTGGGTTGGTGGCTGCCTTGAGGCCTTACTCTGGTCTCCCCTGCTACACCTGTCCTCCCCAGGAGACGTTGAAACAGTGGAGATCCTCTTCTCCAGAGACCTTCCTGTAGGTGGGCTCCTGTTCCTGACGGCTCCCTCCCAGGCTCCTCACTCCAGTCTCTCAATCCATCATCCACCCAACAATGCACACTGTTCCCTAGGCTCTCTGATATTTGAGGGTTAGAAGAAAAAAGAGACAGGAGGCGCCCATCTGAGTGTAGTAATAACACTCTTTTTAACATCCCAGGTTGCTATTCAGCCGCTATCTAAAAAAGAAAAGAAAAACAAACATCCTACCTAGCTAACCTGGAGGGCGTTACACTATAATGAAGGCCCTCTCTGACAAATCCTAGATGGTGGGACTTATTTACCAAAGGAGAAAAAACTGTTCCCTTAGCAAGGTGATCAATTGCAAATGACAACTCTATCACCTAAAATAACAAATATATTTTTAAAAATTATACATTTCATCAAAATAACTAAGACCATATAAAGAATATATATAAAAAAGCAACAGGCTCAAAATGCATATAAGCATACAAATATCAAAGTGATCATTATAAACAAAACTTATTAAATATGAACCAGTTCCTGCCCAGCATGTAGTTAAATGACAGCCAGGTGGAATCGCTCTAGACCTGGATGGACATCATATGGCCTCCTCCCAGAACACACCTTGTGAATTGCCCCATGGGCTGCTTTGGAGCGTGATCTGTCATCCGCTGTGTCCTGCTGCCGGTACTATGTGATCTCTGTGACCAATTACTGCAGAACCCATGACAATTATACACAGTGGATGGCTTCCATTCATGCCATACATTGTGCACTATTGTATTGATCTCTATAATTGGTCACAATGATCACATGGTACAGACAGGGCCAATTACAGCCCATCTATGACATGTGATTAGCTGTGGCCAATCACAGCTAATCACAATAGTAAACACTGAATGAGTCAATGTCATTCAATAAAATGGTTGTTTATAATAGTGATATTCACTGTTATAAGCAATCATGGTGTGCAAAAAAAAAATAAATCCTGATCACCTCCCCAGAGTAATTTAGTGTTACTATAGTCACCGTATGCATAAAAAAAAAACTGAGAAAAAAAAATAAAACACTGAACTGAACTGATGACAGTATAAAAAAATAAAAATGAGAAAAAACAACTTTTTGGAATTTCTTCATTTTGCAAAAAACTGTGACAAAAATGACAACTTCAAAAAACTCATCATGCTTTTTGCTAAATACCTTGGACTGTCTATTTTCCAAAAAAGGGGTAATGTGGGTGATATTTGTATTATCCTGGCATTTTCGGGCCTCAAGAAATGAGACAAGCAGTCAGTACATCAGGAGTGATCAATTTTCAGATATATTTACCATAGCTTGTAGACTCTATAACTTTCCTGCAGGCTAATTAATATACACTGATTTGGGTTATTTTCACTAGAGATGAGCGAATCGAAGTAGGCGAAGTGGAATTCGAGTCGAATATTGGAAAATTAATATGGGTACAGTATTGCATGACCGCGCAATTGTCATTTCAAAGTGTGATAGCGCTGAAAGCTGAAAATTGCCCTGGACAGGAAGGGGGTAAAAGTGTCCGGACAGGAGGTGGTTAATGTACATTGTATTCCTGATTCCAGGTCCTATCTACTGAAAAGTCATACAAGAAGCTCTAGATAGCACTTGCATCCCACTCTGACCAATCCCACTGATACAGAGAACAGCACTGCTGTGAGGAGGAGGACAAACAGACAGAGGTAACAGAACCCAAGAAGAAAGCGCCAGCAAGAATGATATATCTCTTAGATTGTAAGCTCCCAGGATCAGGTCCTCTTGTATTGAACTGTTTAATTGCTATATTGTCTCCTTTTATATTGTAAAGCGCTGAGCAAACTGTTGGTTGTATATAAATCCTGTATAATAATAATAATATGGGAAATGTAGTGTACCCATTAAAAATCCCATCATCATGCCTGTTCATGTGCTGAATAATCCCCTCACCTCCAAGTGGACTAGATATTGTCATCTTAGGACATACAGCAGAGTTCACAGGAGCTTCCCGAGGACTCCGTGATGGCGAAACTGTAGAAGCAGTCAACACATCTGCCACAATCCAGTTTTATGTACTGACATCACTTCTGGTTCCGGGGACTGAAACGCACGCCGGATCCAAAGAGTGCAGCGGCTTTTGAGTACACACGCTGAGTGTATTGGTGCTGAGATATTGGGCACCTAAACATGTGAGTGAATTTCTAGCTTTTATTTCTGGCATTTTAAATCTTTAATGTACTACACTATGAGATATCATTCCCTCGTCATATATCGTCATATTACTGAGGGGAAGCTGCACGGCACTCTGAAGATCTTTATAGAATAAAACCTGCTAGCAGTGAGTTGAGATAAGATCCTGGAATAACAAGTGCATTTGACCTTCCTTTTAATTAAAGGGTCATGGATCTGTGGTGAGTTCATTGGAGTGGCACAAGTGGTGGAGCACTATCAAAATTAGGATGAAGAGATATTAATAAGCACTGCAACAAGCAATTTTTACATGTTGTTTGCTGTGGGACTTTTATACTTACTGTTATGTATTTATGTGGCACAGGATGATATTTATAGAGACTATGTATGCAATGAATGTTATTGCCGCACCTTTATTGTTCTTTTCACAGCGCCCAGTATACTGTACATAAGGGATATTCATACCTAAACAAAAACATACACAAATCCATTATAATATTAACAATTAAATAGTAATCATATATGCAACTATCAAATCTGTCATAATATGTACTGCTGTGATAGAGAAATGAACTGACCATAGGCATGAGGAGGAATTTTGGTAAAATTGAATAGCTAAACATATTTGTTTCAAAATAAGCAATCTTAAAGAAAGGGGGCAAAGCTCAAAGGTTATTGAGCCCTGGGATCTTGGTGGCCTGCAGATCAAAAATTCATTGGGCTTCAACTTAAAGGATTTTCCTAACAAAATTGTCCCCACAGGGGTGTGGATGAACTTTAAAGACAAGAGCTATTGATATTTATAGAATTGAGAAAAATGTCTAGCCACTGGGCTCAGGGCTGCTGTTAGAATTCATTGTGCCCCATACAGCCGACCTGACAGGGTGCCCCCCCCCAAAAAAAAAAAACAGTTTACTATGCTTCAGTTATGAATGAACACAGTGAATGATTGATACAGATCACTTGATCACTTGTTTTTTATTCAGGAAAGGAAGGGGATGGTAAATGTAACATATTTACTGGACCCTTCCTATGGTGTGCTTGCTGCTGCTGGTGGGAAGGAGAGGTGGGAAGTCGGCAGCACTGTGTGGAGGTGGGGGCACACAGGAGGGCTTGGGCACTGCGAATCCGGTGCTCGATGTGTCCTCCGGACACAGTGAAACACCGATCATCGGACAGGACCTCTGTACGAGTCCCGATCATGTGATCACTGATTTGGCGAATCAGTGATCACATTCAAAGTAGTAAGCAAGATGTCACTTGTGACATCATTGCTTACTACATGTGAAATCTGTGAATGATCACAGAGGTCACATGGTACAAGGCTATTCACAACAGCCTTGTACCATTGTATGTGACAAGCTGTGACCAATCACAGCTCACTCAGTAGTTCTCAATGACTGCAAGAATGCCGACAGAGAGAAAGAGAAATGATTGCTTTTACATCCTATATGGGGTGTAAAATCAATCAGTGTAAAAAAAAAAAAAAAAAAAATCTTCATCACCCCCCACAAGTAGTACAGTGTCACCATGGTGACACTGTACTGCTAGGGTGACAGTATGTAAAAAAAAAAAAATAAAAAAATAATAATATAAAAAAATAAAATAAAAATGTAAAAAAAAATGTTTAAAAATTATAATTTTATGTTATAAACTAATTTGGATTTTTTTTTTTTTACTAAAAAAATAACAGAATAAATTTTGGCCAAGATTTATGATGAAATATTATTTATTTGCAAAATTTTATAAAAAAAAAACACTTTTTTTCAAAATTTTTGAACATTTCATTTACATAGTAAAAAAAATTAAAATCCCAGCTTTGAATAAATTCCACTAAAATAAAGCTTTATCTGTCTCAAAAAAATGGTAAAAAATTCATATGGGTACAGTATTGCATGACCGCGCAATTGTCATTCAAAGTGTGATAGCGCTGAAAGCTGACAATTGCCCTGGTCAGGAAGGTGGTAAGAGTGTCCGGTCTGGAAGTGGTTAAGTGCCCTATGTTCCTCAGTTTTACAAGATTTTGATCCTGCCAGTAGGTGTTCAACTGCCTTCAACAGACAATAAACAGCGTTCATTCTCTAGTGAACTCGCTAAAGAATTGTCTCCGCATGGACTGAGATCATTTTTTAGATCAATAGGTGACTTCAGATGGACTTTAAGAGGCAAGACAATGAAAGGCCAACTCTGCGGCGACGGAGCAGGGATGTCTGGGAAGGCGCGCAGACAAGGCGCGCTGACCCATAATGCATTCCTTAATGACATGTGATCGCATTAGCCAATCAGCAGCCAGGCAGCCAGCACTGTGTAATGGTCGAGCTATAAATAGCGGCCCATTTTTAGAATTCTTCATTTGCCTCCAGTCATTCAAGAGAGGCAGACCGCTCTGTATTAGGGACAGAGTTAGGGCCACAGAAACGTTACTTGGGGACAGAGAAGCATTACTCAGGGACACAGAATTGTTAATGAGGGCCACAGAATCGTTACTTAGGGCCAAAGAAACACTAGTTAGGGCCACAGAATTGTTACTCAGGGACAGACAGAATTGTTACTGAGTGCCAGAGAATTGTTACTTAGGGCCACAGAAACGTTAGTTAGGGCCACAGAATTGTTACTCAGGGACAGACACAGAATTGTTACTGAGGGCCACAGAACTGTTACTTAGGGCCACAGAAACGTTATTAGGGCCACAGAATTGTTACTCAGGGACAGACAGAATTGTTACTGAGTGCCAGAGAATTGTTACTTAGGGCCACAGAAACGTTAGTTAGGGCCACAGAATTGTTACTCAGGGACAGACACAGAATTGTTACTGAGAGGGCCACAGAACTGTTACTGAGGGCCACAGAAACGTTAGTTAGGGCCACAGAATTGTTACTCAGGGACAGACACAGAATTGTTACTGAGGGCCACAGAACTGTTACTTAGGGCCACAGAAACGTTAGTTAGGGCCACAGAATTGTTACTCAGGGACAGACACAGAATTGTTACTTAGGGCCACAGAATTGTTACTTAGGGCCACAGAATTGTTACTCAGGGACAGACAGAATTGTTACTGAGTGCCAGAGAATTGTTACTTAGGGCCACAGAAACGTTAGTTAGGGCCACAGAATTGTTACTCAGGGACAGACAGAATTGTTACTGAGTGCCAGAGAATTGTTACTTAGGGCCACAGAAACGTTAGTTAGGGCCACAGAATTGTTACTCAGGGACAGACACAGAATTGTTACTGAGGGCCACAGAATTGTTACTTAGGGCCACAGAAACGTTACTCAGGGACACAGAATTGTTACTGAGGGCCACAGAACTGTTTACTTAGGGCCACAGAAATGTTAGTTAGGGCCACAGAATTGTTACTCAGGGACAGACACAGAATTGTTACTGAGGGCCACAGAATTGTTACTTAGGGCCACAGAAACGTTACTCAGGGACACAGAATTGTTACTGAGGGCCACAGAACCGTTACTTAGGGCCACAGAATTGTTACTCAGGGACAGACACAGAATTGTTACTCAGGGACACAGAATTGTTACTGAGGGCCACAGAAACGTTACTTAGGGCCACAGACACAGAAAACGTTACTCAGGGACACAGAATTGTTACTGAGGGCCACATAACCGTTACTTAGGGCCACATAATTGTTACTCAGGGACAGACACAGAATTGTTACTGAGGGACACAGAATTGTTACTGAGGGCCACACAACCGTTACTTAGGGCCACAGAATTGTTACTCAGGGACACAGACAGAATTGTTACTGAGGGCCACAGAACCGTTACTTAGGGCCACAGAAATGTTACTCAGGGACACAGAATTGTTACTGAGGGCCACAGAAACCGTTACTTAGGGCCACAGAATTGTTACTCAGGGACAGACACAGAATTGTTACTGAGGGACACAGAATTGTTACTGAGGGCCACAGAAACGTTACTCAGGGCCACAGAATTGTTACTGAGGGCCACAGAACCGTTACTTAGGGCCACAGAATTGTTAATCAGGGACACAAAATTGTTACTGAGGGCCACAGAATTGTTACTCAGGGCCACAGAATTGTTACAGGGACAGACACAGAATTGTTACTGAGGGACACAGAATTGTTACTGAGGGCCACAGAACCGTTACTTAGGGCCACAGACAGAAACGTTAATCAGGGACACAGAATTGTTACTGAGGGCCACAGAAATTGTTACTTAGGGCCACAGAAACGTTAATCAGGGACACAGAATTGTTACTGAGGGCCACAGAAACCGTTACTTAGGGCCACAGAATTGTTACTCAGGGACAGACACAGAATTGTTACTGAGGGGACACAGAATTGTTACTGAGGGCCACAGAACCGTTACTTAGGGTCACAGAATTGTTAATCAGGGACACAGAATTGTTACTGAGGGCCACAGAACCGTTACTTAGGGCCACGTAAACGTTAATCAGGGACAGACACAGAATTGTTACTGAGGGACACAGAATTGTTACTGAGGGCCACAGAACCGTTACTTAGGGCCACAGAATTGTTACTCAGGGACACAGAATTGTTACTGAGGGCACAGAACCGTTACTTAGGGCCACAGAATTGTTACTCAGGGACAGACACAGAATTGTTACTGAGGGACACAGAATTGTTACTGAGGGCCACAGAATTGTTACTAGGGACACAGAATTGTTACAGGGACACAGAATTGTTACTGAGGGCCACAGAACCGTTACTTAGGGCCACAGAAAGTTAATCAGGGACACAGAATTGTTACTGAGGGCCACAGAACCGTTACTTAGGGCCACAGAATTGTTACTCAGGGACAGACACAGAATTGTTACTTGAGGGACACAGAATTGTTACTGAGGGCCACAGAACCGTTACTTAGGGACACAGAAACGTTGTTCAGAGGGGACACAGAATTGTTACTGAGGGACCACAGAATTGTTTACTTAGGGCCACAGAAACGTTACTCAGGGCAGACACAGAATTGTTACAGGGCCACAGAATTGTTACTGAGGGACACAGAATTGTTACTGAGGGACACAGAATTGTTACTGAGGGCCACAGAATTGTTACTTAGGGACACAGAATTGTTACTTAGGGACACAGAATTGTTACTGAGGGCCACAGAACCGTTACTTAGGGCCACAGAATTGTTACTTGAGGGACACAGAATTGTTACTGAGGGCCACAGAACCGTTACTTAGGGCCACAGAATTGTTACTTAGGGACACAGAATTGTTACTGAGGGCCACAGAATTGTTACTTAGGGCCACAGAATTGTTACTAGGGACAGACACAGAATTGTTACTCAGGGACACAGAATTGTTACTGAGGGCCACAGAACCGTTACTTAGGGCCACACAGAATTGTTACTCAGGGACACAGAATTGTTACTGAGGGCCACAGAACTGTTACTTAGGGCCACAGAATTGTTACTCAGGGACTCAGGGACACAGAATTGTTACTCAGGGACACAGAATTGTTACTGAGGGCCACAGAACCGTTACTTAGGGCCACAGAATTGTTACTCAGGGACACAGAATTGTTACTGAGGGCCACAGAATTGTTACTTAGGGCCACAGAATTGTTACTCAGGGACACAGAATTGTTACTGAGGGCCACAGAAACGTTACTTAGGGCCACAGAATTGTTACTCAGGGACAGACACAGAATTGTTACTCAGGGACACAGAATTGTTACTCAGGGACACAGAATCGTTGAATTAAAGAGTATGTCAGACAACATGCAGAGGAGTGGCAGAGGAGGCAATGTTTTAGGAGCGAGCAGACGTGGCAGCAGAGGAAGGGGTCGAGGCAGCACTATTCGCAGCCAGAGGCCAGTGCTCCCGGTGTCATCCAGCGGTCGTGTCTCCACCGACAACCCTGCCGTCATCGATTGGTTGGCTCGGTCGTCTTCCTCTTCCCAGGTCACCTCTGACACCTACAGCCAACGGTCGGTGGGTACGTCAGACACAACCGTTAGTTGGCATGGCCCGGGACCAAGCCCACTGAAATCACGTGTCCTCTACCTGCCCCTGTCCTTTGGTGTTCCCTCACCAAGCGAAGTATCGCATGCTGTGGGCTCAGCCCCACTGTACAGTGAGGAAGAGCTAACAGAGGGCGGTCAGGAACGGGGGGGAGACATCCGCCTTTTCAGCAGCCAGGCGAAAGAAGTAGTGGCGAGGAGAGTGGCTCGGTAGCCGGTCTAGAGACAGGTCTGTCTCCTGACCCAGACGCAGCCGAGGGGGCTAGTAGTGAGGCGGAGACCCTACTTGATGATGAGGAGGTTGATCGCACTTGGCAGCCTCGTCGTCATCAGGCAATTTCTTTCCGCATCATCAGGAGAAGAGGGTGGCAGCTTGGCAGCGAGCGAAACACAGTCGGTGGGTTGCCCAGGAGACAGCAGC